TGCATGCCAGACTCTTCTCTGATCGTGACAGCATCACTTGGGTCCCGTGGAAATAAGATTCGCTGGAAGGCCGTGCCGTCTGACGCAGGCGGTGGCGTAATCTGATAAAACTCTGAGGTGTGCTGTCAGCGTTTGAACCGTCCTACATTACCTGTCCCTCAGCCCGTACAGGACAGAGGGGCGCGTTCTCATTGGTAGATAACACACATCTAATCTCCACAAGACACGCTGTCGTCAGGTGGGTCATTCAGCTACAAGTTCACTCTAATCTTGTGCCGTTTTTCTCAACCTTGCGACACTGATGGGAAATTCATCCAACAAAAAGCTGACAGAATAGTTTGGAGGGTTTTCTTGTGCAGAATAAAATAACCAATCAGGCTTTCAGGAAAAACTCTCAGACTGGACGTTTGGCAGCGACAGCCTGTTTCCCAAACCGTTATCAGCCAGTTTCAAAACGCTGTCGTCAGTTACTGCTGATTGACTGACCTTCTTTTACAACTTTATCTCAGTTTTCACCCGAGCAGCTGTAACTTGTTTAGAAAAGGGAAGTTTAAAGAGGCACGGAAGCATAGCAGGGATGCATGTCAGTTCCCCTGCACTCACTTCACCTCTCGCAGCACGCTACATTAATGCCTCGGGACATCTGTACAGTACACGCATGTTGTGATATAATGAGAATCAACTGAGGCGTGAAGGAAGCTGAATACATTATAGGCACACAGGAGGCCACTTGTGATCTACAGTATTTACATTGCGCTCTAATCCTAATTATATGTGGCAGAGTATGTATGAGCGAGTGATAATGAGAGACGTTCCAGGAATAATGAGAAAGTGAGAAAGAGATAAAGATAGACAGATTAAAGATGCTGCATCACACCACCGAACCAGCTCAACTATCCGCAGATGCTAATTCATGGAAATAGAAAAATGCCAAAGCTATCTATAGTTAAGATACAGGAAGCATACGATCAAACGGGGTTCTCTGACAACATGGTGAGAATATGGAACAGTTTGTTCTAGGGCTGCACGACGCTGGAAGAAAAAAAAAACCTGGCATTGTGATGCTTTGTTTGTCTGCAACGTACAGGGTCTATAATCTGTTCTATAAATATTCATCCCCCTGGAAAGTTGTCCCCTCTCTTTGCTTTTCAACATTGAATCATGGTCAGTTCCATGTCAAAGTGAAAACAGGTTTCAATAAAGCTGCATTAATTAACTGAAAACACAAATTGTGAAAAAAAACCCCGGCTACAACAAAAAAAGTGATCGCACAACTACCCAGTCCTGGTAAAGAAACTAATCCAAAACCCTGTTATTTAGCAACGCAGTCATAAACCTGAAACTGAAAGTGTCTCCAGTCCGTGCAGTCATTTGGTGCTAGAAGTCATACAGGTAGTGAAATGGAGATCGCAGTGATGAGTCTCAGTGGTTGTAGTGTCAAGATGGCTGTATCTGGAAGGTCCAGTCACTGGTGGATCAGGACTCCTGGATAGAACTACGTGAAGCACGGCGGTGGCAGCATCATGATGAAGCACGGCGGTGGCAGCATCATGATGAAGCACGGTGGTGGCAGCATCATGATGTGAAGCACGGTGGTGGCAGCGTCATGATGAAGCACGGCGGTGGCAGCATCATGATGTTTCTCTGCAGCAGGCCCTGGGTGCAGCAACATAAAACACTTCCCCTCAGCTTAGTTGTCGACCAGTCGAAGCTTCATGAGCAGTTGCAGAGAGAAAGCCACTGCTGAAGAAGCTCATGCTAAGTCTGGACTCTGAAGTCAGCTGGAAGAAGGTTCTTTGGTCTGATGAGACCAGGGTTGAGCTTTGCGGCCATCACAC